TTATTCTGTGTAAGAAGCCACATCATCTCACAGAAGGATTTATTTCAAACACACGACTGACGTTATGAAGTGAGTTTGGAGTAAAAATATGTTATTAAATGTGGTAGTTTCACATGCTTTCAGATGGAGCAGCATTTACTACACAGAGCCGTAGTTCACTGAGAAGCTATGCAAACAGCTGTCATTATCGCGAACAATTTCTTCGATTTCATAATCGCGCAATAAAATCGTCTGCGATTTTTTTCGTAACTTGTCAGTGAACTACGGCTCTGTGTAGTAAATGCTGCTCCATCTGAAAGCACGTGATGATGATTTACTGCTGATTACAGAACCGGCATTACTAACAAAATGCGCATGACAATCGCATTCGATTAATCGTGCAGCCCTAGTTCAATTATTATATTGTGTTGTAACATAAAAACATTGTTTTTTTTTGTACTTGGCAAAAAATGTATATCGTGGCAACTAATTTCCATTATGTTTTGGATTCTGTCTGACTGTTGCATTAATGTTCATGTGAGGAGTGAGGTATATATAATGTGAGGTTCAAGCAGGCATTGTCTCATTGTAGAGACCTGGTGCCAGAGCTGCACTGCTGGGTGGTGTGATTAATGGACTGTACTATTCATCCAATTGGATCTATTTCTGGCACTGGAAATGTTCCTGTCTTTAGCACTGCTAATGTTGCCAAAAAAGGAATGTAATAGAATCAGGGGTCTTGCTTTATACAATTACTTTTTGAAAGCTGACTCTGTTTTTAACTGAATTATTGCACAAAGAAGTAGCCTTCTGTTCAGTTGTTTTCCCAGTTGTTGTTGTGCATAAATAATAATAATATCATTATCATTATTTTATTAATCTGTTTTTGTATTATTTCAAATTATTATTTATTGAATTAATATTTTAACTTAAATATTACTGCATTCTCTCCTTTAGTTTTTTTTAATTGAAATGAAAACCACTGAGAGGTATTGTGAGCAGCGGATAGTACTTGTTTTATTAATGCAACTGGATGTTATCTGCTGCAGGCATTTGAGGATGTGTACATTGAACAGAGGAAGACAATCCGTATTATTCTGGAGTACGCTGACAAGGTCTTTACCTACATCTTCATATTGGAGATGTTGTTAAAGTGGGTGGCCTACGGTTTTGTCAAGTACTTCACCAACGCCTGGTGCTGGCTGGACTTCTTCATTGTTGACGTAAGTCTACGATTTCATTTGTGCTATGTTTGTTGTCAGTTTGATAAATGCCCTTAACGTACACATTTTGTTGATGGGTTCCATCCTGCAAAAAGCAAAGTCTGACCAGCGTTACATTGTATCATAACCTGAATCAGAACATATTTCATTTCTAATATGAAGCTATGTGGGACGAGATTTTGCACCAATGATGCATCAGCGTGTGGGGCCAAGCAGCATGACGTGATACACGTATGGCTGCTTTGGACAAAAAAATTACTTTTGGACTTTTGTTAATTTGTAAGTCACTTTATGATGATAAGATTATGTTGTATGCTTCTCATACCAGTCAATACATTTGAACATGAAATTGTAATTCAAGCATTTTAGCAAAGGAGAGAAGTAGAATTATCATGGACCAGGACAGAAACAGTATAAGTGAGAGTGTAAGTCAGACCATAACAATAAATCGGTGGAAACTCTAATACTCAACATCATAGCAGAATGTCAGTTACAAGTGCCAGTTTCCTTTTGATAGTGTTAGATTACCAAAGAGCCAATTTTTTTATTTTTGGTTAATGCATTTTTCCAAAAGAGCCAAAGTGTAAAAAAAATATATAAATGTATATATATATATATATATATATGTACGAAATGTTTCAATGTATAAAATAAATAAAGCAAAGTATATGTTTCAGTCCTGTCACTTTTTTTTTTTTTTACATACATTTACACTTTTTCTGCTGTTCAAAAAATCTTTCTTTTCGCTATTACCACAAACAAGCTACGAATCTGAGTGCAGGAGCTCTACATTACCATAGACACGTCAGTGGTTTGCTGTTACTCGTGACTCTCGCGAACAGCACTTGAACACGCACTTTGGCCGGTACGAAAAAATGTATTATTATTTTAAACCTTTTATCAGCTTATGTAGGCTCTACAACAAAGGAATTGCTGATATCTAGTGATGTCTAATTTTTTTAATAGATCATTCGTTGGTAAAAGGTGAGAGATCTGGCGATGATTTTTGCCGAAGAGCCAGGTGTGACCAGCCTGAAAAAATACTTGATTTGCTTAAGATGATTTTAACTAACAAAGTTTACAAAAAGTTGTCTTTGGAAATTTCTCTGTTTTCCCATTCAAGTATATAGGAGCTGTATATCTTTTACCTACATAGAAATTAGCTGCAAATGGGTGTTACCAAGATGGCCACCAAGTGACCTGACCGAGTCAGGGACTTTAGAAGCTTTGTTTAAACTGATAAAATAAATTCTTTGGCATTTCAGACAGCAGAGACAGTATAAACTCTGCATGTTCATAGACCTGACAATACTGGTTGCCAGTCACAGCAAGGTAAGTTTTAAAGATGACTTAAAAATAGCTGAAAACCGGTGGAGCAGTTTCTTTGAGCTGTCAGTTAAAAAAGAAAATGGTGTAGTAGAGGAGATGAAAAGACTAATATCTGCTCGCCGTCCTGTATCTATGCAGATGTTTTATGCGATAGTCAAGGCCAACAACAGGATGGTTCCCCTTTCAACAAGATGTTAATGTTTTGGGCAAAGAAGAGTCAAATGTGATCTTTTATATGAAGAGTAAAGCTGTGTGTTGGTATGCAGGGATGAAGCTTGAAGGAAAAACATTGTGCTTATCTTGAATATAAATGCTTATGTAATATATATTCTTTGTGTCTAAATCGTGTTATTTCATAAGATTGCATCATCTCTTTAAGATCTATCACCCATGCATAGCTGCGCAAAAATGCTAGATTTCTACGTGACCCTGAGATGCTTGAATATCTGCTATCAAGAATGATAAACTGGCTTTGAAAATCACCAATATTGTGCAAATAATTGTACTTTTGTGTCTTCCCCCTTTGTATGCAATTTCCTTTAGTAAAATGACAGAGGCCATATCCATCATTATATGGTTTAAGTGTTGGAATGGAAATTACTAGCCAGAATCTGTCTATCAATAACAGTGATTATTGATCTAAGATATTCAAGCATATCTCATTCTAAATTAACCTTGTTTCTAAATCTTGTACATGTGTATGATGTCTATACTGTGTGAACAATAAGATATGTGTGGCCTCTGACTGGTTTCATTTTCTGCCCTGCCCTTATTGTGGGAGACTCACCAAGTGTAAAATGCATTTTAGAGTCCATTACAAGTTATGATTGCAATCAGTTGTTCCATAAACAAAGAGTATTTTACACAACAAATGAGTGACGCTAATGTAGCTTTAAATTATGATTCAAAGTATTTGATGAAAACATGTTAAGCTGTTTATGTGACTAAAATGCTCACACTTGGACTCCAAACTAAGGGATTCAGAGGAATGTCATGTGGATGTGCTTTTCTCATGATATGTGGAGGACATGTTACAATTGCAGTGACCATGTCAAGATACAATTTGATTGTGTGTGTGTTCTGACCTTGTTCCTGAACTAACCACCTTTTAGCAGAACTCATACACCTAATGCTGTTTAATGAGGTGCTGTGGGACATTATTAGATGCATACACAGTCTATTTGATGCTCTTTCATGTCATACATTTCCTTAAATGTTATCAGAAGTTAATCTCCTTTTACCAACAGTTTTATCCACCTGAAATTTATCCAAAAGCATATAAACGCTCCCAAAAGTTTTATTCTGAAATATATTGTTTAACACATAAAGAGAATTTTTACACATTGACAATTAATTATATCAAATGTATTTATTTATACACAAAGCCTGATCCCTCGTTCATAGCTGGTGCTGTATTCCATTCCAACTCTGAAACTTTGAATTTCCTGCCTGCAAAAGTTCAAAAGAACTTCACTTGACCTCACTACCAGACTTCCAGCTCGGAATCCATGCAGAAACTTGCTTGAGATGCTGGTCTATGACATCTTGCAAACACCGTTCAAAAGTTTGGGAAGTTTATTTTTTATTATTATTGTTTTTAAATAAATTAATACTGTTTTTCAACAAAAGGCACATTAAATTGAATTGATCAGAAGTGTCGGTAAAGACATTTGTGATGTTACAAAAGATTACCATTTCAAATAAATTCTGTATTCATCAAAGAATCCTGAAAAAATATGTATCATGATTTCCACAAAAATATTAAGTAGCACAACTGTTTTCAACTGTGATAATACTGAGACATGTTTCTTGATCACCAAATCAGCATATTAGAAAGATTTCTGAGGACTGGAGCAATGGCTGTTGAAAAGTCATCTTTGCCATCACTTTAACAAACTAGACACTTCTTTTGAAAACATTGAAAAACCACCCCAAACTTTTGTATAGTTGTGTATAGGGAGATGTTCACATGGATGTTCATTTATGATACTTTACATTTTTAATTTTTAGCAAATCAAATGCATAAATAAGTCAGAGGTATTACATGAGGGTAGAAGTTGTTTTCAGATAGTACGAAACATGGTACTGTTTCGGTATCTGATATTTTTACATGCATCGTTTATGCTCCACAATTTGGTTAAATCTATAGAGTTGCTGTGATTCAAATTGTGCAGCATGACGAGCAATGCTAAAGTCATGGGTTTGATTCACATGGAATGCATTAACTAAGTTGATTTCGATAAAAGCATCTACCAAATGCCCAAATGAATCTTTCAAACATCTTATTTATACATCGTCTCAGTGTCTGGGAATGGTTTTTGTTCAGGGATTTTAAGATATCATGTAGGAATATTCCACATCTGACTTTGAATGGAATGCAGCATAACACTTAGTCTCACCAGCAACTGACTAAGGAGTCATCCCACAGCTAAAAATAAACCAAATTTGTGAGTTTGCTCTGACTACAGTCCATACCCACCCTCTGTCCATCAACCCCTACTCCTCAGCCCTAATCGAGGCTGATGGGAGCTATAGTCATTATTGACTATTCCCAGGGTGCTGGACTAACACTTGTGCTAGTTGGGAAGAACTCCATATCCCAAGATGGATCAAAAGTTCATTCCTCCCTCCCCACTCTTCCCTTCCGTAAGGTAGTGCTGAGATGTGTTGATGTTGAGGACGTGCAGCAGACGGTAAGTTGTCCTCCTGACTAGTCTATGCTTTGTTCCTCCACTGTTATTTGCTTTTGCTTTTATGGGTGTGATGCTCAGAGGGCTTTCACAAGGAGCCGGCATCATATCTAGCATGTGTTTGTGTGTTCATGTATGTTTATATACTGTATATGTTCCATTATTTCCTATAGTCTGTCATGCTATATATCTGTGCCATCAGCCATACAGACTATTATTTGACTATGCTCATATTTCTATTTTTTTTTAATATATTAAGGGAGTGTATGAGTTATGATCCATTCCAAAATAAATTATTTAATAATATATAAAATATAATTTTAATATGCTTTATTATCTTATAATTCATTTAATAACCAAAATGGTTTGAGTGACAAACATCAGCCATTTTTGATTGTTTTGAATCTATTCAATTTTAGTTGACATTTTTTATTTTTATTTTCCTGTCTTCATTTGGTCACAGCCACACATCTCATTGACCTTGCCTTACAGAGCGAGCGTGCTGGCAGATGAAGAAAGCTTACACTGAGGGGCCATCTCAGCCGGCTCAGGGGGCCCCGGGGCCCTCCATAAAGGGGCGCTTGTGGGTTCCGACTGAGGCTAAAGGTGACAATTACCCCCAAAGATCACATGATCTGTAGATGAAGGAGAAAGCTTTATTACACAGTAGCTTCTAAAAAGTACTCATTTTGTGAAGAGTTATATTGTCTATTTTGAGAGAAAAAGAGCATTTTTAAATATGTGAAACAAAAAATGTAGTCCATTTTATTTGATGCCACTAAATCAATAAAAAAAAAATATCAGGGGAATTTAACAGTGGACATTTCTGTGCAGAGATTATTGATGCATACTGGTGTCCTTGTGGGTCATACCTATTGAAAACTGCCAATAATTCTTGCCTTTTGGTTTCTAAAATGTCAGCTAGCATGGTTTCTTCAGTAAAGGAATATGATAGCCATTCAGAATAAAGCTTTCACCTTTAATAGAACCCCTTCTGTGAGTTGGTTAGCTTTCGGTGTTGTGGACTTTTGCTGTGTTTTTACCAAGTCTTCGTCAGTGGTTGGTTGGAGGTGTGCAGGTCTGTTTGTATACCTTTTCATAGGGGTGCTCAAGCCTGGTGTCCCAATGCTACTGCCTATTGATGTTCCTGAACAGTTACAAGCCTTTTTTGATGTTCTTGTTTGCACCAATCCTTTGCATCGACATACATGCGATATAATCAATACGATTCTCTAGAGAGCCATTTTGACCGATATGACCTTTCTGCCCTTTACTTTCACGTTCGCTTTATCCTTCAAGCTAGCATGGAGGGCGTTTACTTTTCCACAGTGGATGGCATTTTGAGTAACCAGGGCTTGGGTTCCCAGAGTGATTTTTGTCCTTTGGGTGCTGTCTAATGTCCATTTACTATCTGCGCCCCCCTGATCTCCCCTTTCGCTGTCATGTTACTGTGTCAATGTGATGCTCTTTAAACTGTAAAATCAATGTAATTTGCAATTTGGCATACATGCACATGTTTACCTGTATTCTTTCTCACAGGTTCCATTAGTTTGTCAGTCTTAAATTAAATGGGATTTAATGCCTCAGCCAAGAGCGACATGGAGAGACAATGTTAGAAGGGCAAGGGTAAGGTTCTTGCAGTATGTTGGGTTGTTTTTTTGATGCATCTGCAGGGGTCACCTCAATCTTCTCAACCCCCCATGTCCCCAAGGTCCCCTAACGTACTTCATCAGCCGTGCGTTGTGCGCTTCTCTGTCTTTTTTTGTTCGAGTCTTATGCTTCTCTTTCTCTCTGTCTCTTTCTTTCAACCACAAGTTTCTCCACAGGTGTAAAGAAGCTCACAAGGGTTGGTGACCTCCCAAAACTAACAGAGCGCAAAATCCTGGGTTTATCCTCTGCCTCTAAACCCCTATCTGTACCTGTAACCGATACTAAATCTGAGTCTTTCTCTCTCTCTCTCTCCTTCTTGGGGATATATACATGTATAAATGCAGTGTTATATATGTATATACCCATCCGAACTGTTGTGTATGTGTGTAAACCAACGTTCCAGCAGCTCTAGAGGCCATCTCTTCCCTCAAGAGCTTTCTCCCATCTAACAGTATGGATCCTTTTTTGCTTCTCTGTTTCTGTGTAGGTGTCTATAGTCAGCCTTATAGCTAATGCGCTGGGCTACTCCGAACTAGGGCCCATTAAATCACTCAGGACACTAAGGGCCCTGAGACCCCTCAGAGCATTGTCACGTTTTGAAGGGATGAGGGTAAGATACAAAGCTATAGAGCTGATCTCTCTGCATGCCCATTCAGCAGTTACAGCATGCTAGAACTGATCGAAAAAAAGAAAAAAAAAAACGACAAGGACCACCGAAACCATACCGGGGGATTTTTTTTAAAGACAGCCGCCAATGAAAAGGACTCACCTTTTCATGCACACCTGTTCTGTTCCACATTAATGATCCAGTCATGATGCAGCTGAGATAACTTGAAAAATAGGATGTGAAAAGCTTCCCTGATTTAACTGAAATCGGGTGTATGATTGACTCCTAGTTAAGTCATTGTCAGATGTATCAAAGCTGCCTCATTACAAATAATATTTCCAATTGGCCCTGGAGGACAAAAATAGCATGAACAATTATTTACAAAACCAAACGCAACACCATTCAAATCCCTTCTCATTTCACACAGCATTTGATCTGCAATTGGCTGTTCATTTGGCCTGACTCTGAACTTCTGCTTTTGATGGAGAGCCCCCTTCCTTCCATTTCTCCTCTGTTACACTGACCCTGTCTCTCAGAGAACAACCAGCAGCACAGAACACTTTACCACTGAGGCCCCCACTTCACCAGTACTACAGCACACTAGATATTCTCTTGATGACTCAGAGCACATTTAATATAATTGACCCTTTGCTAAGCTCCACCCCCCTTGGTTACTGTTACTCACTCTCCGTGAGTGTTGTTAAAATGTCAAAAGTATCTTTTATCTGCCATCTTTCGAAGGAAATTAAATTATGCAATACTGAGATTGAGACGTTGAATCAAGGAAAGCTCTAAAATACATCAAATACTGTGATTTCTATTACTATGAATTAATATGTAAATGAATTAAAATTCAGATTGTCCATATTTAAGTTAAACATGTATTTTTGGGAATATCACATCTTATAATGATCATAAAAGATTGGGAAATACTGCATGTATGTCCTCTAGCAAAAATATTTGACCATTTGTATCCACCTTATTTTTCCAGTGTGTGGATGTGGCCATTTGTAAATTGTATGTGTTTGGCTTCCGGTGTCATCCGCTTCCAGCTATTTTAGCTGTACAAAACAGCTCGTTTTGCTGCTTGATATTGCAAACTCGTGTCTTACCATATTATTTTAATGTAATATCTTAATTATGAACACACTGGTGTGTAGTGAAAACAGTTTTAGCATTTACTGCACTTTGTTTTTCTTCTTGTTATTTCCCTAC